ATTCAAAAAAAAATTATTTGTATTTTATATGGTTGATAATAATAATAATAATAATAATAATAATAATAATAATTTAAATATTAAACCGGGGTACATACCTTTTATTTGCAACTTGCCCAATTAATCAAAACCTCCTCTCCAATAATAAAAAGAGATATTATGGCGACTTATGGTGAGCGAGCTTTAAAATTTCGTAACGAGACGGCAAGAAAATTATTTGAAGTAGTAGAGCGTAAAAAAACCAATTTAAGTTTAGCGCTTGATGTTACTACAAAAAAACAGTTTCTTGAGGTGGTTGATAAAGTTGGACAGTATATTTGTTGTTTGAAAGTGAGTGAGTTAAAGTAATGAGTTAATAAGCGAATGAGTTGGTGATTGTTTTATGAAATTAACGTATTTGGACATATTGAGAAAATTGGTACTAATAATAATAATATTATTATTACGATAGACACATATTGATGTTATAACAGATTTCGATCAAGATCTAATTGATCAATTACAAAAGTTAAAAGCTAAACATGATTTTTTGATTTTTGAAGATAGAAAATTTGCAGATATTGGTAAGAAGAAGAGCAAATTTCCCATATATTTATTTATGACAACTTTTTATATTATATAGTTATACAATATAATATATTTGTTATTATTATTATTATTATAACGAGTTTTGGCCTAAATTATATTTTTGGAAAGAAAAAAAAAAATAATTAATTAACCATGTAGTTCAAATAAATTCACATAATTTAGACATCAATAAATCATACCGATCCATGTAGTATTGCTTTAATTACTGCATTATAAATTCTATTAGCATCATCATCAAGTCCTAAATGTCTTAACAACAATACTCCTGAAAGAATAAATGCTGTTGGGTTGGCTTTATTATCTCCTTGAATATCTCTACCGACATGACGTGCACCCTAATAATTTTTTATAAATTATAAATAAATTCTTTTTTTATAAAAAATAAAAAAATAAAAATCTTACCGGCTCAAATAATGCATATTCT